TCCGTCATGATTTAGTAAAAKGAATGGTCGACATGCGAGTATTTCCTCAATAGTCAACAAAAAGGTATCAACAAGACGAGGCGCTTTGCATAAAGCTCACTCATAGATTTTCACGAGTGACTGAGCTTTATGCACGGCACTTCGTATTGAGTCTTTTTTGTTTGGCTACTGAGACGACATGCAAAGTCGAATATTATGGATGTTGGAAGAAGTCAATTTTTTTTCAAATAATTGTCTTTATAGGGTACAAAACCATAGGAAAGATTAGAAATGTGAATGCTATGATGGTGCTCTTTTAAGGAAATTAACGTGTTGAACACTAGGCCTTCRAAACATGTACTTCCATGGTTGCCGTTCCAGAACTGGACATAGATCCTTTCATTTGTAGGCCRTATCCGAGTRTTYTTGACTTCCAGGAATCATCACCTTTTATTGGATCGGCATCGTTGTATAGCTCGTTGTACATTTTTTTGTCGGCTTTCTTTTCTCCAGGGTAGATTTTGACGTTCCACCAGTTGCTGTACAAGTTGTAGTCGAAGGGKACACTGAAAAGAACAGCCAGWGTGTTCGTCTCATTGGTGCACAACATTTTGTAAGTGAGCACTCCAACAGCTCCCGTGGCAACAGGCCCTGTTGTCTTACGTGGGCCGTACAAAAGTGCTTTTTTATTCTCAACTTTAGAGGGAGGCACTTTATCCTCAGTACCAGAGAAGAAGTATGTAYTTGGCTTTTCCCAAGTGCATCCCGACTCGTTGTCAACACCAATCGCAACCTTGCGTTCAATATTTGCCATCGCATYCAGGAAATCTTTGAGGATCTTAGTGCCAAGACTAGCACCTTTGATGATAACGGCTGCAAGGGCAAYGGACTTTTTTGCCATTTCTTTCTCCTCTACAAGATAAATTTAAAAAAAATCTACAGTTGRCATAACCTATAATACTCTAGTTCAAGTTCTGTTTAGCTTAGCATAAAGTTGCTGTTTTACGTCTTACGCTGYGTAAATTTCTCAGCAATTTGTCTGCTCGCAAAGCCGTTGCAAGCCAACAAGTTCTTGAGAACAGAGTAACAGYCCCTTGAGTCTCAATTGCGCATAAAAAGAGGGAAAATTACTAAAGYTGTTATATTAACAACTATTTTTACATTAAGACACATATATTAAAACTAAAAAAATCCTTAATTATGCATGCATGGTCGGTAAGCTGCATCTTCAAAAGAACATTGATTTTCAAAACCAATCAAAATCAATGGAACACATCAATGGAAAGAGTAAAATAGAAAGCCAGATAATAATTTCGAATCAAATAGCGCCTTCGATTTCCTTTGCCTTTTCAGTGTCTTAGTAGAAGGCAATATACCTTTTTTGAAATACAAAATCGTAGTACATTGTGGTCTAGCTTCAGCATAAACAATGCCATATTTGGCAGTATGAACAAAAGCTGTTHTTACCGAATCTAGGTCACAATGCAATGTAAACTGCTATCTAAGAAAACGTCTATGCTCCGCTGGATCCCCCAAAAATATCTTTTGGTATTTTATCAGAAGTTCTCTTGACTCCTTTGACGATAATTCTTAAATAGGCATGACAAAGTTGAATACAACTTTTTCCTTTGATTCTTTGCCTGCTCAGCAATTTTCTTCATCCATTGTTAACATGTGGAAATAAACCAAAATCTTGGGAAAGGGCCATTGAGATGATCAATCTAATTATGTAACTTTTTGTAGTGGTAAGGGACCATTCATTATTTATGCCAGGGGGTTG